TTTTTTTTTTTTGTTTGTTTTTACAACTATACTCAATAAAAAATGGGTCAAATGTTACCCAACCAAAGACTGAATTGCCTAAATTTATATTTTGATCTATTTTAAGAGCACTTTTTTACCTCTGTTTGTTTTTTGCTTGTTTTTTTGTGATCGTAAAAAAACAAATTTACAAATTAAAAATTAGAAAAAAAAAAGTTTGCAAATTATTTTCTTTTCTCTTCAAAATTTTTTTTCTTAACAGACAATTTGACAAAAGTTTTTTAAGACGTCAACCACCTGAATTGTAAAATTTTTTTCTTGGCTGTTTTTGGCTGTGTTTTTACTGCTTTGATAATAAGTCATCATACCCCAACAATCCACCTTTACTGTCGTCAGAAAAAAAAAAAATTTGCATTTAGAATCTGTACATACAACTTTGGGGGCAAATAAAAAACAAAACGACAGACAACAGCGGTGTTGCCGACAGAAATGTTCAAATGTTTCAAAGGAAATAAATAAATAAACAAATAAAAATTAGACACCAAATAAAGCTTTCAGTGTTTCAGATTTTTAAAGTAAAACACAGTTTAAATTTATCGCCCTCTCTTTTTATTTTTTCCCCCTTTTTTTTGGTGCCAATGATCAAGGAAAAGATTGAAGTAAGTAGAAAAAAGAAAAGAATTTTTTTTTTCCAATATCAAATTGGAACACAATCTGTAACAGCGTTACAAATAGAATACTGTTTTAACATCCATACTTTAAGCAGCAACGGTGGATTGATGAACAAGTAAGATTGAACGGAAATAACAGCAAACAAATTTTAGTTTTGACCTGCAAAATAAGCAAAAGAATACGAAATACAAAGCGAACAAATCCATATGCAACTAGTCTAAATACTGTTGTCTAAGAACTAAAAAATTGTCAACAAATCAAAACTAGTTCTGTTTTTTTTAATCCCTTTTAAAATTGCTACATGATTATCAGTTTATTCAACCAGAAAAGAAAATCACTAATCCCAAAAAAAGTAGACAGAAAAAGTAGCAACATTATAAGAATAAGAATTTAAATACAACAAATTGAATAGATAAATTTTTTTTTTTTTTTTGAAATAACAGTTTACACGAATACAGCCAATTTTCGCTCAACTATTTTTTTCCTTTTTGCCATAAGGCTCAGCGAAATGTCGGATAGAAAATGAAAGAAACTTTTCTTCGCGACTCTCCTCTTCATTCCTCCTTGTAATGAATTGTTTCAAACAGTAAAAGTAGGAAGAAAAAGAATTTTTTTGCTGAAAACTTTAAATTTGGATAATACGAATTAAAAATGGATGAAGCTTTAGTCATTTAGACGACAGTCAGAACCAAATCTTTGTCGTATATTTAGTGACCGAAAACAAAGATCATTTGCTGAAGTGTTTTTTTTTTTCTTTGAAGAAAACAAAAGGAAAAAAAGTGGGGGAGAATAGAAGAAAAAAGC